AGCCTGCATTTTTATATTACAAGTCTTAGGTTCGATTCTTACCCGTCCATTTCATTGTGCAAATTTTTTATTTCTACAATATTTACAAAAATTAATTCCCTAAGGAAAAGATTCAAACCAATAACTTCTAATTTAGATGATTGGAAGTTTAACCATCATGGCAATGGCTGAATTTTGAATCTAAATTTAATAAAATAATATATGTTAAGACTCTAGGCAAGTCAATGACTTTTTTTTTTTTTTTTTTTGGTTTTTGTCGTTTCAAATACTTTATGGTTTAATAATTTATAATATTTGACTTATGAGTATTGAGTTTTAATTTATATGTTATTTGAGAATTTATCTATTATGAATTGTGATATTAAAAATTAATTTGAGTATCGTGAAATGTGAATATGTGATTTATGAAAATCGAAAATGAGAAATTGGGGAATTTATAATTTATGATGAATTGGTGTTGAGAATTGGAAATTGAAATTTTAATTATATTTTAAAATTAATTTTAATTACATTTAATTTTTTATTAACGTTCAATTATCATACTGATTATGGAATGATTTTTTCAACTGAATCTCAATCCAGTTCTTGTAGTGGTGTTTCTAATCTCTCAACTACTTTTAGTTAAGCATTGATAACACAAAGAAGTTTTATGTATTATGTAATTTATATTATTTCGAATTGTGTTGAAATATAATATGCTATAAATATACAATTTTTACGTTTTAGTGTATTTACATATAAATCGAAGAATTTTTAATATTATTTTATTTAATATTAATAAACGATATCGTTATACAGTCGTTGACTATCGACAGTCAACGATAAAAGAATCAATGGCCACCCTAGTTGAGTCGAAGTCTTGGATTCGCCCCTGACCTTGGACCTACAACTCGAGCAGTTGTGAAGTTGGGTATTTTAGGTTCAAGGAGCCTTACGATAGTCAACAATCGGTGTGCTACAATGATCAATACCATCGTGAAGATTTTGAGAGAATGCGGAATTTAAGTAAACAATATAACTACTAATTTTTTTCATGAATTTTGTTAAGAAAACATGAAAGTAATCAACTTTGGATACGCATAAAAACGCAAATAAAAAGGTGAAGAAACATAAAATGAGAATTGATAACACTTTATTTTAAAAAACAAAATTTCATTTTACAAAATCCTAAAAATATAATTTTTTTTTTGGGAAAATAAATGAAAATCATAAAGCAAACAAAATACACAAAAATCATTCCTATAATTGGATCAATCAACTTGAACTTTAAGGAATTAAAGGTTGAATCCAATTTTAAACGCTAGGGATTAATTTACTAAATGCACTAAAGTTATAGGTTAATTGCACAAGAAATGATAAAGTCCGACATCTCTAAATTAATATAATCATGACTCCGCACTATTCTTTCAGTATACTTCAACTGGTTGCATTATGCTTTTATTATATGTTGATGAGATGATCATTACTGGTAATGATGTTGATGGGATTGTTGATTTGAAATCAGAATTAGCTCGTTGTTTTGAAATGAAGGACTTAAGTATATTATCTTATTTTATGGGGATCGAAGTTGCTTCTTCTCCAAGAGATTATCTTCTCTCTCAATCCAAGTATACTATGAATGTTATTGAGCGCGCGTCTAACTTATATTAAAACTATTGATACTCTTCTTGAATTTAATGCTTGTTATTCACCCTTTCACAGTGTATCTTTGACTGATTCCACTTTGCATCACACCATTGTTGGATGTCTAGTTTATTTCACCATCATACGTCTCGATATTGTTTATACTGTTTACATTGTTAGTTAGTTTGTTTTGACCCCTATTAAAATTTATTGGTTAGCTGTTGTTCGTATTTTATGCTATCTTCGTGGTACTTGCTTTCAGAGTCTTCCGTTTTTCTCAACCTCCCCTTTGGTGCTCCGTGCTAATCCTGATGTTGATTGGGCCAGTAACCCCTCTGATTGAAAGTCTACAACTGATTTTTGTATATTTTTAGGTGATTCCCTTATTTCTTGGAAGAGTAAGAAATAGACCGTTGTTTCTCGTTTCTCTATTGACGCAGAGTATCGTGTTACGGTATTCATCACCACATAGATTGTATGGTTGCATGGTTACTTGCAGACATGGCTGTTCCTTCTTCCTCTCCAAACCCTATGTATTATGACAATAAAAGTGCTATTCAGATATTACACAATTCTGTATTTTATGAGCACACAAAGCATATTGAGATTGACTATTATTTAATCTGCTATCATCTGCAACTGACACAATTTCCCTGCCTTTTGTTTCTTCAATATTGCAGCTTGCTGACATCTTCATGAAATCTCATCTGGTTCATCATTTTCACTTCTTGCTTGACAAACTTTCGTTGCTTCTTGTTGTTGTATCGTGAGTTTGAGGGGGATGTTATAATAAAATATATATTTATATATAATACAATATAATATTTATGTATAATATTATTAGTTTCCTTTGATAGGTTTTCTTTTAGTTTTGGTCTTCTTGTGTCTGTGTAATTATCTCAATAAAAAAAAAAAAAGAAGAAGAAGGTTTTTGGTGGCTCAATAATATGTTTTCTTCTCCTTCTCTTAATTCTTCTTCTCCTTTGGTTGATTTATCAAATCAGTTTTTGTTCGTAGTTTAATGCCATGCACTAATCATGTAAGGCACCCACTAGCTTGATATGATAAGCATCTTATCTATTTTCTAGGTAGATTAAGGATATGAAACTCGTTTATACTTATCACGTCAAGTGCCTTCCTTATGTTTTTTTTTGGTCATCTCCAACATGAAGGGCGAAAGAATTCGTTAAGCCATCTCGTTTGCTCGAGAGGCATTCACTCTTTGGGGGGCATTGGTTCAGGAGTATGCTAATCGAACATCAGAACTTTGAATGCTAGTTTGATAGTCTTTCAGTGCTTGTCATGATAACGAGAAGCCGCACCTATAAGGCGAAATTTCAAATGAGGCTAGGCTTTTGCTACATATCAAGAGAAGGAGGGGAAGGGGCATTATACTTGATGATATGCTTCTGAAAGTTGCATAAACTCTATGTATGGAGATTTCTGAATAATTGTTAAATGATATTATGCAATTTATATTGTTGATATTATTCCATATTATTCTTCCAATTGAAGCCAATATTATTACCATTTGAAAGCGCAAGGGATTGGTAAAAATATTCTCTAATATGAATTATACTATAAAAATTCTCACAGAAGTAATTATGATATGGTGATTCTTATTTATTAGGGTTGAAACTACAAAATAAGTTACAATGATATTTTGAGTTCAACATGGTTCATGAAATATTCGTTCAGTGGAGTCACTCAACTAGAAAAATGGATTACCATAGATAACAGTGAGGGTGATGAATTGTAGTCGCTAGTATTGAGTCTTCATGGAAAGCTTGCTTTGCGAGCTCTTGAGTGCTAATAAGTACGTTGTACATCCTCTATTTTTTTTTATCGGATTTAAGAGCGAGTTTTAATCGAGTGTTTGCAAAGATCATCCCTTTCTTTTTCTTTATAGAACGGTTTTAACCAAATGATAAAGAGCGAAAAATTCAAAGGAACACGAACAAATTGGAAGAAATCCAATATCTTTGATTCAATTAAAATTCAAAACTCCCTTAAAATGACTATTGGAATTGGTTTTTGAATTGCAAGAAGAAACTAAATAAAATGCGACATAATTTCAGACAAATTACATAGGAACATAATAAACTATATTTATAATTTTTGGGTACAAAACATGTAATACCATTAGCGACGTCTCGCATCATGGAATGTTATTTTGTCTTCCTCGGAATAATAAAAGTTAAAACCAAATTTTATTTCCCAAGGTTGTAACTTGCTCTATATATGTTGAAAACTAAGCTCACAAGCCATTTAACATATATTCAACAATGCACAAAGATAATAAAATATAATCGATTAAAGTTGATTGAGGGCATTACAATCCATTTCTCCCCAAAATCAATTACCTAAAATTAGTAACTAATCACTCTTATAATAAACGATTGTGCTCGATTGTGCTGTAAAAAATGATAGGGGCGCGAGACAAGAAGATACGTAGAAAGATAATTAATCAACATACAAGCATTTTCATCCATCCCTCTTTTTTACTTGATTGTTGAAGGGGCCATGGGTCATTCCCCATTGCCTTGTTCAATGCTTTGAATAGTGACTAGGAGGAAAACTAGAAGAATTCAGCACTAGTGCAACATAATATTCTTGATGTCCAAATTTAAATATCATAATTTGGCAGAGAATTGATACAAAAATTTTATGGCTTTACTTGAAAAGTTTATCAAGCATATAACATCAGTGGCATCTGATTGTTAGAATTACAATCTCACCACATTTATAATATTAAGCCCCTATTTGAGCCATATTTTCAAGGAAGAAAGTAGAAAATTTTTGACTGTTATTTTCAAACGTGAGTCCCACTTAAGAGAGGTGAAGTCAAATATGATGGTTGAAATTGGCCTCCAATGATCGGAATTCTCATTTTTTTTTGGTTGAAATTTGGCTCCCATTAATTTTCATTCCATTACATTTCATTTTTCTTTTTCCTATTTTCAACCATACAATCTTCCATAAAATAATATTACACGTAAATCAAAAACTCTTAATTCTTTTTCAACCACACATTTAAAAAAAAATAAAAATTATTCCACCTATTTTCATTTCTTCAAAATGGGGGCCAAACTAGGACTGGCTCAAATAGGGGCTAAACATTGTCAATCTTTTAATCCTTCAACAAGAATAAAGGAAGTAACTTATTTTTCTTCACAACAACTATTCTCATTTTAGCTTAAAATGTGTTTTAAGGGATGAAAACCATTGGTAAGGACTACTTGTGCTAAGTTTTAAAGACAGAGGGGGTATAATGCCAAAGAAAAAGGTTCCGGATAAAATTGAAAAACTCGATATAAAATGGGGACTAAGATGCAATTTACGTTTCAACAATTGAATAACTTAAACCCTAATTCTTAGACCTCTTCCTCAAAACCCTAATTGAAGTGCGGGAAATATCAAGATAATGGGCGGTTCGAGGAGGAGTTACAAGCGTTCGAAGCCGAAGGTAAAAGTTGGACTGCCGAAGAAAAACCCTCGAATATTCAAACCAGCATTCCATCTCCCACCGAAATTGAAGACTCTTTTGGACCCCGATTCAAAATGGGACGATAAGGCCAGTGTAATCGAGAATTACAAGTCATTTGGCGTCGTTTCGAACCCTAATTTTCTCGGAGTCCGCTCTCGCACCCCTCACATGGTCGAGAGCGACGCCCTCCAGGTCCCTGCCCAAGACGCCACCCCAGTGGACGAGTTTGAGCCAATTGATTCCGGCAGCGACCTCGAAGAAGATGGTCAGTTATTTTTTACTTTTTCCTTTTGATCCCTAAGTATATCTTTTGTTTGGATATTTTATTAACTAATACTTCGGCATTTTGTTTTGATTAATAAGTTGATTAATTTCCATCGTGATTGTTATTTATTCACCTAGTGTGAATCGGAAATTTGAATTTAATGCATTGATATGGGAAAAAAAGCAAGAAAATAATTAACTGATTTGTTAATTTCACTAGAGGACAATGTATGGAAGGCTCTTTCTTCTTCCTAAGTAGATGCGTGGAATTCATTGATGATATTGAGGTGTGCAATGATTCTCTGTTTGCACTAAGAATTGGAGCCTGTTTTATTAGGGCAAAACACCAATATTGCAACCTATTACTGATCTTTAGAAAAATTACATAATTATCTTTGTTTAATTGGTTTATGACCGGAAGAAGATGATCTATCAATAGACTCTCAAACTGATTCTTGTTTAGCACCCGAAACAGGTATCCTCACAAATACCATGTGAAAATGGGATAGATACATGTGTATGTGTAGGAAATTGCAACCCTAAATTGCTACATACTGTATTGTCTGAAACATTTGTTACCATATTGTCCACGTAAGAGCTCAACCTTTTGAATAATGATATCCTTGACACCTGGTTAGAGTACTAAACATTCATCTGCAAACACAACTTATCACGGAATAAATATATTGCTGAAAGGGCTATACGAATCTTTCTCATGTCAACTTTTCATCATTCTTTCTTGAACATGCATTGTCCAGCTAATTATACTGTTACATTATTTAAACATCTTTGAAGTGTCATAATATTAGCTTAATGCAGTTATGAATGACATGTCCAAAGTCAAGGCACTTATTTGATAAACGAATTTATTCTCATTGTCTGACACGTAGATCCATAGTTGTACCTAGCGCCTATCCTGGTGTCCAAGCATCAAAGACAACATCTTCTGTTACACATCTTCAATATGATTATAGTATCTTTTGCTGATATCTACCACATGTTGCAAATTTTTGCACTGTAACCCAACCTCTCCATGAAATCTTAACCATCTATGTGTCACTACTTGCATATACTTTCTAACCAAGACCAGTGATTTGTTTTGATGTTTTTCAATAACCACTAAGCTCTCCTCATATGTTTCACGTGTTACCTATTAAAGTTATAATTGAGTTGCCTTTGGTTTTCAGACAAACTTCATTCTCAAATTGTGGATTCGCGCGAGGCACGTATATCATTAATTTCACTTTCAGATTCATATATGTTACAATTGTCACAGGCCTTGAATTTGTTTTGGAATTCTTTTTATAATTTTATACTTGTTCAACGAGTTCGTCCAAATAAGTGATAAGTTAGCGATTTCATAGCCAGCTTAGTGTTTGTTGAAATGTCTGATTCCAACGGTTTAATTATTCTGGTGAAGCCATTGGTGCTTCATGTGAACAAGACAGTGGTCCTCTGATTCTTGCAAGCTTGTGCTCTTCTAAATTTATTATTTTATCTTTTGTCCATTTTCTTTATCTACTGTGGGATTAGGGGCCCGTTTGGTAGGGATTTTGAGAATTGATTTTTTGACCGTTGGAAGAAATGTGGGGTCTACATGTGAAAGAAAAAGTCAAAAACTACGGCTTGAATAGTAAAATAACGGTCAAAAAATCAATTTTTTGGAGTAAAAAATCCCTACCAAACGGGGCCTAGATTTATTTTCTGTACACACATATATGGTTTTCATTAATTACTAAACATGATTTATGCAGCACTTTTTCATTATTGTATACATAACATTTGCAAATTTAAATAAGACCCCTGCAGTACTGTGTTCATCAATACCTGTAAGTTATTTAGTGAAAAATAATTTTTACTTCTAACTGCTAAGTGCTAGTTGCATTACTAATCAAACGAGTCTATCAAGATGTATGATGCTGGAGCCTCAATTTTTCAATATGTATGCAATTTTTAAGACTTTCACTATAATTTGTCAGATTTGTGCAATGTAATATAACTGTCAATGGTCATATTAAGGATCCATCAGAAAGTGCTAATCTATGTTCCACTTCTGCTTCTGATTCTTCTTGTTGACCCGCTAACGGCATGATGTGTGTGAACTTTCTAGACTTGAAGTCAGCCCTTGGCAAGAAACGGACAGATGGGAAGCATGCGCCCCTTCAACCACTGACAAAAATCCAACGAATTCATGTTGGTCGATTGGTAGAAAAATATGGAGATGACTATCAGGTAGAGAAAAGACTAAACTCTTGAGAATTATTCACAATTTGTTTGGTTAAATGTTTGTGCCTAACAAGTTTTCTTGCGTTGCAGAGCATGTTCATGGATATCAAATTAAACAAGATGCAACATTCAGTAGCGACACTGGAGAAACTATGTAAACGATATAATGTGTGCAAAGATAAGAACCCTTTGATAGTTGGTTCTTGAGAGTGGTATAACTTAATTTAGAAGTATGTAGTTGGCTTCGTTGTTGTAGTCTGGGTAACTATCTCCCCTTGTGACGAAGTGCACGATTTTGTTGTCACAGACTCACTGTTGTTATCTTTGTTATTTGTCTCAACAATATATTGGTGATTTGAATTGATGGAAGTTCCTTGGTAATTGGAGTCGTATGAACACATCACGGAAAACTCGTGGTAAAGGTATCTTTGGTTTTAAACACGTGGCAGAACCCCAGTTTAAATACTTCAATATTGTGTTGATTACTGTTTAGGAAAAAGTTCAGCATTTTTTTCTACAAGCTATTAGCATATGAACAAAAACCATGGAAGAATTTTAGTACATAATATTTTGATTCCACATTGCCTAAACTGCTTCTAAAGAGCCTTTAGCAAAGCTCTTTCATGCTAGGTAAAAATATTCTTCGGCTTGTACTCTGGCCCTTTCTCCTCTGTTTCTGTGGGAGGTAAGAAGGGCCTACAACATAAAGCCTGCTGCATTTTCGTGTGATAGTGACATCTCCTTGTTCAAGAATTTGTCCTCTAAACATGTCGTTTTCTTCTAATTTGACGTGAAACATACAGATCATTTTGGGTTATTTATTAAAGGTTGAATTCTAACTTTGAGGGTCTCTATTGTCCCGCCCCTAGAGTTTTGGGAGGGAGGTAAATCGGGGGGATGTGCCCTAACAGGTTATGGAACAAGGGCTGTTTGTACACTGCGCCTACAAGGAGTCCAATTTCATGTCTCAAGAATCAAACCTCCACACTGTGACTGCTAACAAGGCGTGAGATAATTTCACTCCTTTCTTTTGCACCACTGGACTATGCCCCGGGGGCTAAACATACAAATTATTTTGGGTTATTTATTATTTTGAGTTCGTTATATTTACTTGGAAAATTTAAACTAATTTGAGAAGTGAAAATTGTAATTTGTGATTAGAATTTGAGCTGTAATGCCTTTCGCGTAAATGTTACCTCCTTTAATCCATCTTCGAACGTGCCTTTGCTCGTTATCATATGTTGTCATTTCTTATCTACTTCGAGTTTTATCTTCTGACCATTGTCACTAGACAACTTAATCAAGGAACAATTAGTCCAGTCAGTGTCGGGTTGCTAGGGCTCAAGGCTGTAAGTGTAAAGTGGCAAGTCTAGATGTTTTGTCATCTTGGCTGTTTCCTCAATTTATTTTTGACATCTTAGTACATCAATTCTTTATGACAAATTGGCAGATAACGATAAAATTTTTGACACGTTGGCACATTATTTGACCTCTAAAGTGGCAAAAATTGAAACAAAAAAGTTGCAAATCCCGGGCTCCAATCCTTGACACCTCAGCCCCTGATGTTAAATGGCGCGGGCCCCATGTATTTAAAGATCAAGGGCCGAGACATGCGCTACCTTAGCCCTGGATTGGAGCCCGGGATTAGCATCACTTAAAATTGAAAATTTGTCTTTTTGAAAACCATTGATTTAGTGTAACATAGAGACATTAACTATATGGTTTTAAATAAAATTTGGTTTAGATTCTAGTATTCTAAGTGTTTTGGGGAAAAAAAAAAAAACCACTTAAGGATTTTTGAAAAATGGAAATAATCTAATTTTTTTAGAGAAGATATGGGTTCAGCAATTTCAATTTTCAAATTTAAATCAATATCCAAATTACATTTTTCACTTTTCAATAACATATTAATCTAAATCTAAATAACAAACTTTTAATGGTTGTGCTATATGTATAAAATAATTTACATGTATATGATGTGGTGAAATATGATTGTATCAAAATTTCTTCAATATAAAATAAATAAATAAAATATCTTATTTTTGACACCTCAACAGTATGTAAATTATTATGTAATTTCATTATATACAAGTGTTGACACACAAAAAGTTCAGCCCAAGTCGAATAGCCTAAGGAATGAAGCCCAATTATAAGATCCCTAAAATCAAATAGCTCAAAGAACGACTCAATCAGGCAATGCAGGATAAAGACCCAAATAGGGAAGCCCATGAACGCAGTAATACCATCGCCCAAGGTTACAAGTCGCCCAAGATTGGAGCGAATGGATTGCCATGCAGTCGCCCAGAACTGAGCCCCTGTTCTAGCCCAAACCTTCGAGTCGTCCAGGATCTTAGCAAACGTAAGATGTTATGGTTACCCAAAGGTGCGGTTAATGAAGCAGTTATTGAGTAGCCCTATCACGTTCTACGATTCAAGGAATTCAATTGAAGACGGTTGAACGACAAAAGTAATGACAGCAATTAGAGAAGGCAGTTCCATGACAAGTTGGCCACTACGAGGAAAGTGGGCAGTTATAGAGCGATCAAACAGTTTTTAAGCGGTTGATTACGAAGAGATCATCCAGGGAGTATAAAAGGAAGAAAAGACATAGAGCAAAGGACCCCGAATCAAACACTCTCAAACAGAGAATATGTAACTTTAAATTTCTTAGTTTAGATTTAAACACTTCTTTTTCAGTAACTCGTGTGCTCGCGCCCCTTGGAGGCATTCTGTTTATATTTTCAAATTGTAAAGTCATCGTCAATAAAAAAACCCCTTTTTTGGACTTTGTTTCAAGAGGTTTGTCCCTTATACAATCGTCTGATCCCTTTTTAATTGTTAGCGACTAACCCACGCGAAACAATTTGGCACGCCCGGTGAGACAGTAGTGTTTGGTGTTGAAGATACAAAAGGTGAAACAACATGCCTCAGAGATCCGATAAGGAAGCAACAAGTCAGGGAGGAGTTCAGTCAGTGATCGAGCGATATGAGGAGCAGCATAGCTCTCCACGAACAAATGGACAGAATCAGAGCAGTAACAGTCGTTACGAATCAATGACAGAGTTGAGTCCTCGAACTATGCGTGCACTGCTTGGAGAACTCACACAAGATGTCGTTGAACATGTAAATTTTTGAAATATTCATAATATGGAAAGATTTACCCAAAATGGGAATGCACATTATGACAACATGACCAAACAATTGAATACTTTGAATGAAATAATGAATAAGTTAGTAGGCCAAATTTGTCAACCAGTTACGCCTCTTGCAAACCACTTTCAAACTAGGACAATTGTGGGACATAATCCCCCAGTCCTAAATCCAAGTCAAGGGGTAGAACCACATTTCGGTCCCTCTACTTCAAACCAAAGGGATGGTGTAATGACATATCAGAATAATGGTAGTGGTACGCCTAACTTGGGGGGTAATCTAAATGTAAGAGATAATGTTCTAAATAACGGGCAGAATACCCCACGTGTTAATGAGGGAATAAATGTTCAGGCTAATGGTAACAATGACCCAAATCATGGTAACTTTATTCCTAATCAAGGACCAAATATCAGGCCTCAAGCAAATCAACCAGTCAACGAACCTGTAGGGATTCCATATGACCCCAACGTCATGTTAAGAAATCAGATTATGGAAATTGTACAGGATCAGATGGCTTTTGCGGTACGTCCTGTCATTAGGCCGACTTACACAAAGTCATATCCTGATTGGATAGACCAAGCATATCCATGGCCTAGAGGGTATAAAGTGCCAGAATTCTCACTGTTTACTAGTTTAGGAGAGGTGTCTACTCTAGAACACATAGGACGATTCACACTGCAAAGTGGTGACGTAACTGATTGTCATAAAATGAGGCTTTTCCCTAGTTCATTAATAGGAGTAGCTTTCTCCCGGTTCATCAATTTGCCAGCGAATTCTGTTCAAACATGACAACAATTGGAACAATTATTCCACGTTTAGTTTTATAAGACTGAGTCTGAAGTTACTTTGGCGGATTTGGCGAACCTACGTCAAATGCCAAATGAATGGGCAGAAGATTTCCTCCAAAGGTTCAAGACAGCAAGAAGTAAATGTTTTGTACCTCTGCCCGAAAAAGAGTTTGTCAAAATCGCTCAAGGTTGTTTGAGCTTTGATTTGAAAAAAAAATTTCAAGATAAGGAATTTCCTGACCTTTTCCAATTAAGCGCGAACGTGATTAGGTATGAACGATTGATAAGAGAGGAAGAGCAGATAAAAAATTCTAGCAAGGAGACTTATTATAGAGACCCAAATTTTGATGTTCATACCATCAATCACGAGTCATACAATCAGACCGAAATGTGTTTGGTCAAATTAGTCAAAGGAGACACGTATACTTGTCTTATAATGGCTAAACCTAGACCATTGAGCAAGGATGAGCCTATGAAAGATGAAAACGTAAAAGTTAGAACGTTCTCGTTCGATGTAACCAAAGCTGACCTTATATTTGATAAATTATATAAGGATAAGCAGATAAAGTTGAGCGATAAGCATAAATTGTCAAACCCTGAACAAATTAAGGGTAAAAAATATTGTAAGTGACATAATACATGGTCACATTTGACTAACAATTGTTTGATTTTTCGCCATGTGTTACAGGATGTCATTGAATCAAGACGAATTACGTTCGACGATAAGAAGAAGATGGCAGTGGATGAAAATCTTTTTTCACAGCTACTTGGAGTGAATATGGTGACATCTGGTGTTAAAAACAAGTTGTCAAAATTCAAATTGGTTATCGATAATGGAGAAGAAGACCCTGGACCACATCCCAGTGTCTTTGAGCGTATTAAAGGGAAGGAGCCAAAAAAGGATGAAGACGTCTTGTGTGCAAGATGTAAAAGAGAAGTGAGTGGGAATATGGAGAAACCAGGGATATGGCAACATCTCCATCGCCCTACTTTCTTCCCAAACACTCAGCCTTGTAGAGGGCGAGGTACATCGTTCTATAAGGGACCGCCTTTTGAGAGGCAGTTCAGGCCGGTAAATAATGGGAGAACATTCAGGCTGCAATTTCGCTGACCAAATGTATGGCATTCGTTCTAGTATAATGTAGAAAATGCGATACTCTTCAACGAGATGACTAGAACCCAACAAAGGCGTTTCCAACGAAATTATGGACGAATGATGAGGTAACAACAAGGAGTGCCATGTCCTAAGGTGCCTAAACTACTCGAGGTAGCCAATCAAAATGTTCTCAAAGATGGTAAAGAGACTGGTACAGATGAATCAATGAAAGAGTTGCCAGAAACTTCTTTTGGGAAATCGAAGTTTGAGCGAGACAGAAGGGAGGGAGAAGATTCAGATCAGTCCCTTACTATTCAGTTCGATATGTTACCTCCTGTTGTGGCTAATAACTATTTACTAGCCAATGAGTTCAAGAATAAAGAGAAAGAAG